CTTTGCGATTTAAAAAGAAAGTTTTGAAATGCACTATCCAAAAATTTAATAACAATGAAATATCACGTTTGAATTTTTCAAACGGTATTCAATTATCAAGATAACATATATATATTTTAACTTTTATCTAAAATCTCAATTTTGATCGCCAGGTTTAGAAAATATTCATAACATTGTGAAACGCAGAAATCATGAGCTCAGAATCGACATGGAAGACTGGGAAGGCAACAAAGCATATGCAAAATATGGGTAAAAACAGTTTCTGGTATATATATAAACGATGTCTCAAAAATGCCGTTTCTCACTAGTCCTAATTTAGCACATGTATCCCATTTTTCCACATCTGTTCCACACTTACTCCTTCTGTTCTGAGTTAGGGTAGATATAAATTGTGAAGCCATGATAAACCATAGGAAGTGGGATTCATGCTATGTATTACGTTAAGAAAGTATAAAACTTTGGCAGGTTACGGTATACTGCGTCTATGTGAAAGGAGATTGATGCTATTGGGATAAGTGGGACACGACATAGTAAAATATAATATGATATATGTATCATAAAGTCTTTCCAGAAATTCATTTGCATAATATGACGTGTATAGTTTGGAGCGTCAGGGTAAACGCGTAGCCTCGAAACAGCAACACAATGGTTATTTATTCCCGGTTGCATATGCATTTTAGATCATTTTACGTTGGAGATTTATCAACCAACTATCGCTTAACTGTCGGAGAATATAGTGGAAACGCAGGAGATGCACTTGATCATGGGCAGCATCAAAATATGCCTTTCACGACCAAAGATGCTGATCATGACACACACAGAACGGAAAATTGCGCCCAACTGTATCAGGGAGCATTTTGGTACGGAACGTGTCACAACGCAAACTTAAACGGACTCTACGTTCAAGGAGGACATAGTGATCGGCTCGGTGTTGCTACAGTATGGAACCAATGGAAAGGGCATCATTACTCCTTGAAATCTGTAGAGATGAAGATGAGAGAAAAAATCTGAGCCTGAATATTATTATATCTGAGATAATATTCACAATAAAAATACTCATTATTGCAAAATATGTGCGTGTTACTTCATTTCTCTTTGATCTCAGGATGGATAGAGTATCTCTATTTTTTGCTTAATTTGAATGTAATGACCTTCATCAGTTAATATTTAGACCCTCAATTTCAAGTTTTCGTTTTTATATTCGGGTATGGCGTACATCAGATAATTTTGTTAAACGCCCTGCGGCCTGATAGGTTTTCCGTTCACACAATTATCAAACATACTGGAAGGTTATGGCAACACCACAATGTTAGGTAAATGGTGAGTATTACTCAGCAGACAAGTGTTTAACATGCAAAAAAAATACTTTTATTGCAATAAGTATGGGCAATATTTCGAAAATATCACAACGAGAAATTTGTGTAATGTTCTTACTAAATTGAATATTAAAATATTTTTCCCCAACTTGCTATGTAAATATTTTTTCATTGTGGATTGCCTATCATGAATTGAAGACTCAAATTTATGCACCCTCTATGTTCTGCCTTATACGTCTCGTTGCTTCATCCTTTTTTTCATGGTAATCATTGTTATTTCCCCTATTTTTATTACTTCACGTATTTTCCTATGGCAAAATGTTTCCATGGAATTATAAAGAAGATCGTGAAATGTTGAAGCAGATAATTTCAAATGGCTGTAAAAAGCATTTCATTTCATTTTGGTTTACTGGATTTTGTGAATAATTATTCATGTTGTGTTGAATCGAATGGAATATTTCATTCATATATAATCCACGAAATTCAATTTAAAAAAGTGTTACGTAATACGTATAAATAATACAGTCTTCCCTTAAAATAAGATCATCGAATGATTAATCTAAAACTTGTGAAGGGGTTAGGAAATAAATCTATTGACTTGCAAGACATTCTAAAGGATGATGGGATGGTCATTTTTGGGACCTCCTGAAGTATACGCACCAAGATGGCGCACAACCTGAACTCAGGTCGTGTACCAGGTTAAGGTTCAGTTTGTGCGACATCTTGGTGCGCATACTTCAGGAGTACTCATTTTGGAAAAGCATTTGTTTAGCAGTTTTTTTTTTTTGTAATTGAAATGTGTTATATATAAGTAAAAGGATATCGGTTTTCATATTTTGTATATTTGTAAATCTCGCCATTCTCTATTTTGAAATTTTGTTCAGTCATTCAATGGGGGCAATATCAATGAAAATTTAAATTTCCATTCCAATTGAAGTAATTTGGATTGCGGAACCGGTGGATTAAATGTTATTTTACCATGTATTGTCGGATAGTCCCTTTTGATCATTTTGAGTTGTTATAAAATGTCTTGTGAGAAAACCCATTCTATTTTGCGTGTTTCGCATATATTTGATAAAAAGAGAAAATAGATAATAATTTAAACCGCCTTGCAGCAACTTGGACTTTCAACTTTTGAATTATTATCATTGCTTTCATGTCTAATTTTACAAATATTGTCTGTATTATGTTGCTTGTATTGCATGATACAACTGAAGCAAAATCGACTTTTCAAATCGTCAGTTCGTCCATATCTAAAGCGTTAAGTAAAGCAAAAAACTTTCTAAAAATGTCCTTGAGCAAAATATTCATTTGATATTCCTTTTTAATATATTTATGATATATATCATTAAATAATTTCAGCTGCATAGATGCCGGTATCTGTTTTTATTGGTGAAAATTAACAGGTATCATAGTATGACTAAAAAGTTGTGCGGCCCGATTACCCCGCCTGATAAAATGGCTTGCGATAGCAAATAGCAAATAGCCTGTAATAAAGTAGGGAACCACGTATAGCAGCAGTTCCCAAAACTTTCTGATCGTACCAAATAATCAGGAAAGAAACTCACCTCGCACATACACGAAAAAAAATTTGCCGCCTTTAATGAAACTCAATTTTGTAATCATTAATGTGCACTTTATGCAAGTTTGTAAACTTGTAGTCGTAAGGAATAAAGGCAATGTCAACTCTTCTTCTTCATCTCTGCCTGATATTCATAAGCACTATCAATGATTACAGAACCTATTTCACATATTCACAAATCGTCGACCATAACCAGATAAAGCACCAATTTAAGACTTGCCGAAAGTGAATGGGCGCGAATGAATAGCGGGCGTGTCAAGAAAAAGGTTTAGAATCATTGCTCTAAGGCTTAGAGTCTAAGCGTATGCAAGCGTGGGACCTAATTTACGAAAAAAAATTCGACATGCCAACTTTAACATGTGATTCACTTTGTATCAAGAGAGTTTCAGAATACAGTCAATTCGATTAATCCAATTTTCATGGAATGCAATTCTCTAACTAACAGCATTTCAATACTGCCAGATTGTGCTACTAGTAGAAAACAACTGGAGCTTGTCCACAGGTTTTGCAAATATTTTTTCTTTAAAAAAAAATATTATAATTACAAAACTCACTTTATTCCATCATTAGTATAAAAAAAACATAACTTTCTCTTCGCAATGCCAAACAAAATTTGTCGCTTTGAGATTTTGGCACCAAATCCTAATGAATTGAAAATTTTAATTAATGTGAGATCGATTTTTGAGCAGTATGCAATCCAAGCATGTGATGCTATATTATTATCTGCAGAACAACAGAACCCATAGATAATTTGATAAACCATATAAATGTTTTAGCTTTCTAGGGCAATTCTTTCAAATGCAGTTACTGCAAAATAGAAAGCTATGAATCTATTACAGAACAAAATATATCGAATTTTCATTACTCAAAATTGATGAAGTCGCTGAAAGCCTATTATCTGACCCGAATTGTTGCTTTTTTATGTGAATGGGCCCACATTTGATATGGATAGAATTCTTTTAACAATTGGTCCGGATTTTGCTGACGTTGCTGTGATCTTAATAATTTGCCCTATGTGTCCGTGTTTTTGAAAATCGCACCTCTTTAGTTATCTATACTCGTTACTGATTATGATATTTTCTTGAATTGGAAACTTATCGTTGTTGTTATTGTTAGTCTTATTGCATAAAATTCTTTTCTTCTCAACTATATAATCAAACGATTACGATCGTTGCATGTCTTGCTAGCGTGCTTTACATACGGCAATAATATAAAAGATTAAAATATTCCTCAAGTGTAAGGTAGATGTAATTTCCCCGCTATCACCGGAGGCAATCAATCCTATTGTAAAATTTAAACCCACGCAATATTTGCGGTGTTGAAAATTTCCCTCGTGTCACATTTTAGCGTAAATAAGTAATAATAGGAATTTTCTATTCTTGTTCGCACGAAGCCTTCAGTGGGTAGTTACAAAACGTGTGAACAGAAATAGTAGAACATCGAACGAGCCGTATATAAGTCAGCGATTGGGACGTAACGTTTGAGATTGGTGCACAACACTTGTTGTTACCTGTTGAGACCGCACTTTTAGTGCTGATGTTTAGTACAAAGCGTGCGTTGTTGAACTGTTTCTCAGCAATGTGCTATTAGCCAGAAATCCAGAGCAAGAGCAAAAGTGTGTTCAAAATCAGCAGTCGTGGACCATGGGAAAAGCGCGCTTATTCCACATTCCTATTCTAACATAATTATGCTTCGTCTTAGTGCAAGTATACATTGTTACGGATAATTTAGAAATCACTCGGAAGTGACGTATTATTTTCATTTAATTATAACACTGACACTCAATCGATTGTAAATTCACTCCAGTTCCCTTTAGGCGCAATAAATATGCTAGTTTATATACATTCTCGTCACCACACCTCTGATTACCCTCCGTGGGTCCGCAGGCTGGGTTCCTCGCCAACATAGGGTGGTTCACCTAACCTTTGGTCGGTAACGGCTTTCTTCGCCATCCAGTCTATGCATATGGGAAAATAACTGGCTAACTAATCATACGGCTCATGATTAAGCCGTCTTATCGGCGTTCCTCTCCCGGGACAAATGGGTAAATCCTATCCTAACAACAGTTTCTTTAATTCTATTTTAGTACAATCTGATAAAATGCGGCAGTTTATAGTTTACATCACATTTGGCATCATGATGCAATATATCACATCTGCAGAAAAGATTCGTTTTTGCGACGAAGTCTCCAGCTGTCTTGCATCTCAACAAACAAATGATGTAGAGGCGCCGCTTGTTTTGTCAAGGAATACTCTGAACAAAGATGGCAACTCTGGATTTGTAGATTACGAATTAATCAACGCTAAAATCTTGGAACAAATCACAGGTAAGATATTTTTCATCGTGTGCTTACTTGAGTAATACCTCCGTTTATATTTTTAATGTATATTGTTTGTGAATCCCGTTATTTTTTTCGTATGTTAGGGTTGTTTTTGTTTCAGTTGGCATAGGAAATATGTGCATGAATGTATAAATATAAAATATATTGTCTATTCATATTAAATTATTTTTATACTTTTTCATCACAGAAGCTGAGCAGCGATTGGATGTAAAACTATCCCGACTAGAAGCTAAACTTGCCCAGTTAAAAGGTTGCACTATTACTTTTCGTGTTATAGAAACGTAATAATTTAAATATCCTAATCGATGCATATGTATATTGTACTCTTTTCTTTTCTCTAATACCATTGTACTGATTTTAAGAAAATATATGCACGCATGGTGCACGAAATACCTTTGAGCAACAATTCAAAAATAACAAGAACAAGACATATTGACAAATTGACTACATTTTTTCAAATATAAAGAAAATCTGTGGTCGTATCGAACGTAATGTTAGCGTAATCATTGGTGCGTTGTAATTGCTTGTTAAAAAAGCTGCAATCTTAAAAATATTGCCCCCTCTCTCATTTTTTTCTGTATAAGACAAAAATATATTTACATTAATTTTCTATGATCCTTTAAGTACATTAAATTAATTCTTATTGTTCAGATGGCAGCCTTCCTAGAAGCTGTCGGGATATTCAAACTTCAGGTCAAGAATCTTCCAACGAAAAAGTTTATAACATTTCTCTTGCGGCATTGCCTCGAAGCACTGATGTCTCTTGTGATCAAACCACAGACGGAGGCGGGTGGATTGTGAGTGATTTTTTAGATTAAAACATAAGATAAACTAGTATTTCATGAAAACGTTTTCTATTGTTGGCCATTTCATGACATTTTTTATCGCTTGAGGTTACTTTTGTGGTTGCCAATTTGTTAAAGATTTCATTTCAAAGCGTGAAAGATTTGTCATGGGCACATGTTTTTTATGCTAGTAAAGTAGAAAACTGTACTAAACTATCGTACGTATAGAGTCTACAATAGAGTAGACAATAATATCGATATATGATATATATTCAATTTTATTGCTTTCATAAAAAGTTAGATGTTTGCAATTCTGTTTTTACAAAGGCTTCATATATATATATATGAATTCAATTCTGACGTGTATATTGTTTCTTAAGGTATTCCAACGAAGAGTAGATGGCTCAGAAGATTTTTATCGGAATTGGGATGATTACGTTGAAGGTTTTGGCAACAAAGACAAAGAATTTTGGCTTGGTACGGCCATATATGTGTGAATACATTCAAACTAAAACAGTTCTGTGTCTTATTGACTTCGCGATTTTGCGAAAATAAACTTTTGAAATACACTATATAAATTAAATATAACAATGAAGTATCACCTATGAATTAATCAAACGATATTGAATTATCAAGATGACATATATTTCAACTTTTATCAAAAATCTCAATTTTGTTTTTCAGGTTTAGAAAATATTCATAACATTGTGAAACGCGGAAATCATGAGCTCAGAATCGACATGGAAGACTGGGAAGGCAACACATCATACGCAAAATATGGGTAAAAATACTTTCTCGTATTTATATGAACGATGTCTCAAAAATGCCAACTTGTTCTCATTTAGCACACTTTCACATTTTCCACACATGTTCCACACTTTCTCCTACTGTTCTGAGTTAGGGTAGTTATAAATTGTGAGGCCGAAGTAAGAATATGAAGTGGGATTCGTGCTATCTCCTGCGATAGGATAAGTATGACACGTTGGCAGGTTACGGAAGTTAGTATGAAAGGAGATTTATACAATCGGGATAAGTGGGACACGACATGGTAAAATATAATATATATTTCAAAGTCTTTCCAGAAATTCACTTGCAAAGTATGACGAGTAGTTTTGTGCTTCAAGGGTGTCTGTGTATTCTAGATCATTTTACGTCGGAGATTCATCCAACAACTATCGCTTAACTATCGGAGAATATAGTGGAAACGCAGGAGATGCACTTGGTAATTATCAGCATCAAAATATGCAGTTCACGACCAAAGATGCTGATCATGACACACATCAATGGGGAAACTGTGCCCAACTGTATCACGGAGCATTTTGGTACGGAACGTGTCACAACGCAAACTTGAACGGACTCTACGTTCAAGGAGGACAAAGTTATCAGCGAGCCGTTGCTACAATATGGCACCCATGGAAAGGGCATTTTTACTCCTTAAAATCTGTAGAGATGAAGATGAGAGAAAAAATTTGAGTCTGAAATATTATTATATTTGAGATAATATTTGCAATAAAACTCATTATTGCAAAATATGTTTGTGTCACTTCATTTCTCTTTGATCTCGTGATGTATGAAGTATATCTATTTTTGGTTAATTTGAAAGTAATGAGCTTCGTCAGTTATATTTCGACCCTCAATTCCAAGTTCTCATATTCGGGTATAACGTACATCAGATAATTTTATTAAACGTCCTGCGGCCTAATTGGTCTTCGTTACATAGTTATCAAACATACTAAGAGATTATGGCAACATCACAATGTTAGGTAAATGGTGAGTATTACTAAGCAGACAAGTGTTTAACAGGAAAAAATAATTTTGTTGCAATTGGTATGGAAAAATGTTTGAAGGCTACAAGCCCGAATTATTTCTAATATATACAAATGTCCGGAAAAAATATAAAACATATTATGCAATCACACCTCCCAACATTATCAATAGCAGTGTCATGTTAACACAAAAACTTGCAGAGGTTTATTCAGTCTCTCTCCTGTGTGGTTTTACAAGAATTTCGTTAAATCAAGAAATAAAAAATGCTTCGCGTTGTACTGAATCAATTGGTGACTTTTTCACTGAGGAAATACTGACAAATCTATAGTGTTCAATTTAAAAACGGACCTCCTGAAACATGCGCACGAAAGTGGCGCACAACCTGAACATAGTATGTGTACCAGGTTAGGATTCAGGTTATGCGACATCTTGGTGCACATACTTCAGGAGCACCTTAAAAACTAATGAATAATATGTGGGTTATATTGCCGGATGTAATTAAAAAGTTTTATTCCTATTTTCAACATCGGGAATTTTATATGAAATCGCAATCGAGCCAACATTACTTATATCAAGCTGGGAATTACTGTCGATTGATTGATACAATCCATTCAGATACATATAAATTGTAAAATATTTAGTGAGAAAATATATTTTGTTTTGAACGTTTTGCAACGATTTCGTAAAATCAGGAAATAAATAATATATAATTAATATTGTATTTGGCCAAATGGGAATTAGGAAACGATAGCAAATAAATTATGTTCAATTTCAGAGAGTAATGACTAAAATGTGAAAGATATTGCCGGACGCAATCAAAGCAAAAAAGTCATATGCATGTTTGCGTCATCCGAAGTTAATTTGTGTAATTTTCTTACTAATTAAATATTAAAAATATTTTTCCCAAACTTGCTATGTAAATATTTTTTCATTGCGGATTGCCTATCATGAATTGAAGACTTAAATTTATGCACCGTTTATGCTACGTTCTGCCTTATACGTCTCGTTGCTTCATCGTTTTTTTTCATGTCAACCATTGTTATTTCCCCCATTTTTATTACTTCACGTATATTCCTATAGCAAAATGTTTCCATGAAATTATAAAGAAGATCATTTTGAATGGCTGTAAAAAGCATTTCATTTTATTTCATATAGGTTTACATTGATTTTGTGAATAATAATTCATGTTGTTGAATTGAATGGAATATTTTATTCATATATAATCCACGAAGTTCAATTTCAAAAAGTGTTCAATAATACGTATAAATAATAGTCTTCCATTAAAATAAGATCATCGAATGATTAATCTAAAACGTGTGAGAGAGGAAAGTGAATAAATCTATTGACTTGCAAGGCATTCTTAAAGATGATGGTATGGTCATTTTTGAATAGCATATGTTTAGCAGTTTTTTTGTAATTGAAATGTGTTATTTATAAGTTAAAGGATATCGGTTTTCATATTTTGTATATTTGAAAATCTCGTCATTCTCTACTTTGAAATTTTGTTCAGTCATTCAATGGGGGCAATATTAATAAAAATTTAAATTTCCATTCCAATTGAAGTAATTTGGATTGAGGAACCGGTGGATTTAAATGTTATTTTACCATGTATTGTCGGCATAATTGCTTTTGATCATTTTGAGTTGTTATAAAATGTCTTGTGAGAAAACCCATTCTATTTTGCGTGTTTCGCATATATTTGATAAAAACAGAAATTAGATATTAATTTAAACCGCCTTGCAGCAACTTGGACTTTCAACTTTTGAAATAATATCATTGCTATAATGTCTAATTTCACAAATATTGTCTGTATTATGTTGCTTGTATTGCAGGATACAACCGAAGCAAAAACGATCCCTGCATTTTTATGGCGTTCATTATTTTTCAATTAAACTACAATCAAACCATGATAAACTATCAAGCTGAAATAAATTCTGATCAGTTATTTTTCGATGAACTATATGGTCGATTTTGGTCAAGTAATTGAAATCACATTACCAGGACGAAAAAGCAGGAAAATTATTTCTCATGAAAAAGGGAAGGATTATTATTAAATTACCAAATTATTTTTGTCATGTTTTTGTTTGCAATGTTCAGGCACAGTGCAATTAGGAGTAGCACTACTAAAGCCGCAAAATCACTCTGCTGATGACATCCATTACGCTGATAAAAATTTCCCTGATAGATATATATAATATCCGCTAGTCCAAAACATTACGTTCTTGCGAAAAACAATTCGTTGTTGCCCAGATAAATTAATATTCAGCTATATATTACTATATCATAATTATATCCTAATTTTATATGTATTCAAGAAATTGTCTCACAAAATGTGAAAATTCATAAAATTCAAGACGCGAAAATTGCAAATTGCTGTAAAATGTCTTATAAAAAATAATGTACTTGTTGGGGGTTTTTGACTGAATTTTGTAAACAAAGGTATTATATAAAATGGCATTTTTGACTTATAAAGGAAAGCAATGCCATGATCAACAGTAATAAAAAGTGAATAAAATGTGGCCTATATTACCGGATGAATCAAAGAAAAAAAGTACCTCGTAGCATTGAAACGTTCTCAAAAATTCCCAATCGATGAATACGAGTTACTCATGTTACTTTTAGCAGTTTTTAGTTGAACAATTTAATACATTTTTGCCAAGTAATAGAACAGCCCTACTGAAGAACTGGAAAGCTATAAATATGGCATATATAAAAATAAGATAACAAACAGTTAAGCAACAGGAGCAAGCAAGAAGAACTACATACAAATCGCAATAAATAACATTCAGTAGTAAATGGACCGTGAATGAAAGCCTATATGTTTCGACAACCTGAACATTATATGTGTACCTGGTTAGGATTTTTCAGGCTGTGCGTCATCTTGGTACGAATACTTCCGGAGCGCCATATATAATACTAATATTGTTTAGTCACGATGCTGTTTGGAAAAGATATCGAGATATAATGAATTAGGTTGTGTTAATCAAGGCCTTGTTTCAGCAATTTCAAGGTTAGATCAGAATCTAAATATTGGAGTTTTGCTCCGCTACTCAAATTAAAGCGATTATGTTGAATGACTTGCGTGACAGAGCGTTTCCCTTGGGCAAATCTATGCCAAGCTCGCGTCAAAAATATGTGGAATTCTCTAAATTTCAGCAAATATTATACAGAAATGATTCTTTACATTTCATATTCGTTTTGTTCAGATGATTCATTTTTTTACCTATATCGCATTTTGTACCTTGATACAATGTCTTACATTTGCTGAAAAGATCAATTTTTGTGACGAGGTTTCTGACTGTTTTTTTTTCAAATACGAACGAACAAATTATGTAGATTGTAGATAGTCAAGTTGCGGAGTCACGTGCTATACTGGAAAAAGGCAACAGAATTTCAGATAACGACTATGATTACATCAATGCAAAAATATTGCGACACATTGCAGGTATGATTACTTCGTTCTTATTTCCATAACTGACTATAGACTTTATGTAAGCGGGGAAGTAAGATTTCTCGTAAAATCGTAACCATACATCCATATTATTTAAAATTATTCAAGAATACCTTTTGACTGATCCTCTTGTACATTGATTCGACCTTAGTTGCGAGAGATATTTACAAATAAATAATTTTCAAACTGTGTGAACGAAAATAGAAATATGCTGATATATTCCAATGATTAATAATATAAGCAAGGTCCCGAGATCCCAATTAAAAGTAAAAATATGACTACTATTAGAGTTACAAGCGACCTTTATCGCGCTTAGAACTATAATTAAGTTATTAATTATCTGAAAAATCAGATAGCGATTGACGAGATATTCAAAAGACAAAATAATTCAGAACTGCTTGGGTTTCCACATTGAACAGGTTTATCAGGAAAGATAAATCCTGCATTAACTTCAAAATTGATGATTACAGAAGCTGAGTTGCGAATTGATGCAAAACTATGAAGACTAGAATCCAAACTGTCCCAGCTCACAGGTGAAATTCGCGTTTTTGTTATATTTCAATTTAAATATATTAATATAATGTAGTTAGATTCGATTTTGCTTTGATCATGTTGTTGGATATTCTATTTGAAAAAAATTGCGCACATATTCGTAAAGATCTTCTGATAATGGTTAATATTTTTTTTTATTATTAGAAGGGGAAATTTCAGTAAAATTGCAAACATTAAATCTTTTATCCAGTTTATAACACTAAAATTAACATCACATCCGTGATAAGTAACGGTAATAAGTTAAATATTTATTGTTACAGATTACTATTTGCCTAAAACCTGTCGGGAAATTCAAAAGTCAAATTTGGACTCTCCTAATCAAAACATTTTTAACATATCATTCGCATCGTTTCCAAGAACGACGGACGTTTCTTGTGACCAAATAACAGATGGAGGCGGGTGGATTGTAAGTAATACTTGTAATTCATGTAAACAATTCTTGCTATGGTAAGAATTTAGTGGTTCCCAACTCTGTTACATCGGCGGACCGGTAACATCAAATAAAATGTTCTCCCGAACCGGCAACACAATAATGAACTGGGGCAAAGCACGAGAATGAAACATGAACGAGGTTTTTACGGACGAAAATGTTTGACGTATTATTTTTTTGGCGAATGGAAAAAATCCCCGAAAATGATAAAAATATTTATGATAGTAATTTATTACGAATTTGATATTTCTATAAAACAGTCCCGCGGTTTTCAAGTTTTGCCACTAATAAATCATCCATTTGAAAAGAGTTTGTAAAGTTTTTGAACATAAACACGCGTGCAGATATTCAGGTATTTGAATCGGAACCGGAAAAGCGAGACGTCGTCGGGGCAATCAATGGGCAGTGGAAAAGCAACAAAACAACGAAATTTTTCGTGGACCGGAAATAAAGTCTCGCTGACTGCCGCCGGTTTGCAGACTAGTGGCCGGGTAGCACTATAATTGATAGCATTGAAATATAAAAACGATATATGCATATATTACAATATTTAAACACAAAAAACACATTTGAAATTCAAGATTATCTGAAAAATTAGAGCCGAACGATAATGATAGGTTAGATCAGGTGTACGGAAGTGGTTTATTTGGGAGGCTAGCCTAATTTACAACCGCTTCATTCCAAGTCTAGTAAAAATATTCTTTGTGGAACTGCTTTACACATTTCCGACTGCTCGATCTTGTACTCATTGATAGCACGTGCTCATGAGCTTTTAAAGAGAAACATCACTCATTTCACATCGTATTTCAATTATTTTTTTAAACTAGGTTTAAATTAATTTATATTATTATAAATTGTCTACTCTACGCGATCTGCAATGGAGTTAGTTGACTGAGTGACTCCTTGTTGCACGTCTTAAAAAAAGGTCAACGCGATATCTGAAGCACAATATTGAAATACTATTCGCGCTCAATGTAGGGATGGTTGTTGAAGAATCCATTATAATTTTGATGACTGGTTTTATAGGTATTTCAACGCAGAATTGATGGATCGGAAGATTTTTATCGAGGTTGGAAAGACTATGTTCGTGGATTTGGAAACAAGGACAGAGAATTTTGGCTTGGTAAGTCATATGTTGAAATTGAATCAAAACCATTTTCTTGGTGTTTGAAAAATATCGTTACTTATCGATCTTGATAAGTTGATAGGTATTTGTTTTGTTTGTCTGTTAGATTGACGCGATCTCACGAAAGCGAGCGTCGAATCTTCTCCAACTTTTACATGTGCATTCCTTATATGTCGGACTAGAAGTCTATTGATTTTGGATGAATTATGTCGTATAATTAGCGAGTTATTGATTAATTAGTGATGGGACACGCGGTGTTACTATTGAGTCAAAGCGAAAAATAAACATCGCTAGATCGATAAGTCGGCGGTCTCTCATCGCTATTTCTCGTTGGTTTGTTTGTTTGTTTGTCTGTCCGTTAGATGCACGCGATATCTCACGAAAGCGTGGTTGAATCTGTTCCAAATTTTGCTTGTGCATTCAGAAGCCTATTGATTTTGGATGAATTATGTCGTATAATTAGCGAGGTATTAATTAATTAGTGATGGGACACGCGGTGTCACTACGGAGTCACAGCGAATGAATCGAAACCGCAGTTTCTGTTTTGGGGGATCCCCTAACTTTCGATCGATAAGTCTTCTGTCGCTGACCGATATTCTCGTTTATATGTTGTGCAGGCAAACCGAATGTCCCTATGTTTCGGCTCACACTTGTACTGTCATTTCAAAACAATGAATCCGTGAAAAGAATCTGTATAAGATACCTTATAAATGTTCAAATCTGGATGTTAAATATAACTATATCAAAATTCCGGCTGTTTTCCAACTTATATTAGTATACATCCCAAATCATACCACCTCTGAAAATAATACCATCATAGATTTGCCACCGGAGCTTCTCCAAATATTTTCCATAACAGGAACAATTTTACTTCATGAAATCCTTACTGATGCGGCGAGTATACCCCGGTCATCTGACTGACTGATTGTTAAATAAGCGATCTACCCACGCTAAAGTCATTTTCACCGATAACAATAGTACCCCTAGAAATTTATACTTTTCAGATTTTGCTCAGATATTAAAATCGTGGGTATCGTTGCTTACGTTTTACGTTTATCCTTCCCAGTAAAATTTCGTGTCCACCATTTCCCCGAAATTTGGTATACGATATTTGTTGCTAAGCGGCGAGATTATTACTGGCTGCTTATCTTGTGTGGCTTCTTCGTTAAAGTCAGGCCACAGCCAAAATTTGAATTTTGATATTTGATTGAATATAAATTCATTCTAATGTAATTGGCGAGTCATAAATGTTTATCCTACCTAATAGTTGATGAAATATTCATTAAAATAAATAACTTGGTATCGCGCAACAGACAGTATTTTTGTAGTTATTGAGACACATTTATTTATAAGTATATTTCCAAGGTTTAAAAAATATCCATCGAACGTGGACAATATGAGCTCAGAATCGACATTGAAGATTGGGAAGGCAACACAGCATACGCAAAATATGAGTAAGAAAATATTAATTATATAATCTACGTCAAAAACCCCAACAAATCTCTTGTTTCATAAGCGTCTTTGTCGACTAGCCTAATTCCTAATATTAATCGTATTTCAAAGCTATTTGGACACCTATTTGTTTTGTACTTTTGTACCGGCCTTTGCGCGTAAAGAGGGTTCTGTTTACAAATTGAATAATACGCCAATACATATACCTCGTACATCCTGGTGTGTCATTTAGGCACTTGAAAATTTAATAGTATTAAAAAATACATAGGTGAAAACCATCCTACTAAAAGTCGGAGAGACGATATGTCATTATGTATATTCTACATTCTATAGGTCAACAAAATGTACACAGCTTCATCTCTGTTTTTATACGATGTTTTAAAAGGTTATATTAATATTTAATGTTAAATTTTTAGCTCTTTTTACGTCGGAGAATTATCAAGCAACTATCGTTTAACTCTCGGCGAATATAGGGGAAACGCAGGAGATGCACTTGGTAATTGGCAGCATCGAAATATGGAGTTCACGACCAAAGATGCTGATCATGACACACACAAATGGGGAAACTGCGCTCAACTGTTTCATGGAGCATTTTGGTACGGGACTTGTCACAACGCAAACTTGAACGGACTTTACATTCATGGTGGAAACAATACACGACGCGGTGTTGGTGTTATTTGGTATCAATGGAGACGCCATTTTTACTCTTTGAAATTCGCTGAAATGAAAATAAGAGAGAAGATCTAACATAGAATCGTACCATAAACACAAATTAAGACTAAACTTTATTTTTCGAATTTAAATTCGAAATATTTCATATCAACTATTTTTAAAAAATATTCATCTACACAATGTGTAACATCAAGTAATTATAATTAATTTGATTTTTATTTTGAAATGTAAATATAAGTTCAATATACCATGAGATAAATTTTTCTTTTTTTGGCATAATACCAGTACAGTAAGTTATCAAATTATTATTTAGAAAACCAAATTGCACGCTGTCTTTGGCTATCAGTGTAAAGGTACTCACACCAATCGTTGCCTGATTTTAATTCAAAACACTCTGCCATCAAAATGCCCATTTAATTAGTCATAATCTATCATCTGAAACAAGATAACATTCTGTATTTTCATGGGATTCAAATTATATTGATGTGCATAAATATTTGTACTGTATTTAAATATATTATAGCAACTTTCGGCGTTGTTTTCGTGTAAATAAATGCCGAGTGTCATACTAATAGGGTTTATACTTCGGCCAGAGTATATAGGTCGTTCTATATATAGATATATTCCATATAGGAGGCTAATAAGAAATATTTGATTAAATATAATATATTATGCCCACAACAAAGGGGTACAGATACTTCGTGGACTCGATTCAGAAAACGAAGTACTCCGATTCGCTAGCATTTCTTATATTTTAATGAGAAAGTGGGAAAATCCTTGATTACGACCTGCGTAAACAAGCATCAATAATTCAAACCTAAGTTGGTTATCAAACTCAGAAATCTTAAATCACAAACGGATGAAGAACCTTGTGTTAATTATAGATCAATAGGATTATGCCCATCTGAGATAAGAGATTTTAAATTTTCTCGGTTTTCTTGGCTTTTTAACAGTAGTAACCTTGTAGTTGTAGCTTAAATACTGATAGCGAGAAAGAAGAAACCAAACCTTATAGGCTAGAAAGTAGGTCTATCCGTTTGTGTGTCAAAATAATTGGTTAATCAGACGATTTGGTCTAATTTTAAAAAATATATATATTAATCCGTAACAGATTCGTAACAGTATTTTTAATACGTATTACCTCTCCATTTTAGATTTTCACAATTTCTGTGCAAATACGAACAATCACAAAAATAATTTGATTAACGGATCAAAAATTGAAAACCTAGGTCGTCAACGCGTGTGGCCGACGTAACATTCACACCCGTCGCAAACAAGACGTACGTAACAATAAAATAGAGCGTTGCTTTTCAAAAGCGCAACCAGAACCTGTTTGTGTGATATTTCACGTATATTTTTATACTAGATCCAATAAGCATAATTTTTTGACATGCTTCAGAGAGAGTCAAACTGAGCTAAGCTAAAAAATGTGAGAGCGGATCGGAGCGTCGTCATTCAAATGCAAAATCTCACATTAGTTATTCAAATCAAACTGTGAATATTGCCAAGAAAGAATATTTTGCGTTCTAAAGTTACTACAATTTTTTTTGTAAACTAAGCTTTTTATTGTGAATTGATCATATCTTTGTTAAGTATTATTAGAGTTGTCAGCTTAGTCTTCACCGAAATGGATGATTAGCCTAGCAAATTAGAAGAACTTTTTTAGTACTTATCGAGATTTGAGTACAATATATATAGATATGTCAGAGAAAATGCAAACTAAACGCAGGACGGCTTGGGAAGTAACAGTTGATTTTACGAGACGAACAACGTGTCATGGACTTGATCAAGTGACAGAAGACGGAAGACCTATTGTATTGAGGTAATAAAATTAATTAAAGAACGTGATTGTGTTAGGCTAGTTGTAAAATAAAGTATATGTAGCTTGTGTTCTAAGCAACGAATGAGCGGGTGGCGTGGTTATGAATACTAACAAAAAGATCATGATACGACCAAATTCAAGGCTATATATATACGTGATCAAACAGTTTATTTTTCACGATAACATGTCTGGAATCTTTACCTGTAGCTTGATAAAAACCAAGATATATTAAATTGGAACTATTTTTTGACGCACGCATGATGCATGATTACTCAAGTACCGGTTGCTTTAAAGTAGGCCAAATTTGTGTAAATAGGTTATTGAATTCGCAAATTTATCTGCATTATCTGCGAACGGATTTGGAGGTCTATATAAATGCTTTAATACCTAAAGCTAAATTTAAAATCAAGATAAAATAAAATACCTCTAAGAAATTTTTGAAATCTAGCCACGATTTATTTATTATAGTCTAGCATGCCAACTCACTAACGCCAATTTTCCGCTAAAATATTGCGTTAATTTGAATGTATTTTAGAGTCGCATGGTTCATAGCCATCCTGGGACTTTTTGGTGGATTATGCTGGCAGTTGACAGTTCGAGTTCAAGAATATATGTCGTGGGCAACAGATACTGAATTACACGAAGAATTTGATTCATTTGTTGAGTTCCCAGCGGTTTCCATCTGCAATTATAACAGGTAAAGTGGCTTTCTTTCAATCATCATAATTTAGCTCAATTTAAACGTTATGGAAGCCTTTAAATCAATCAATTATGTGCATCTTCGGGGCGCGGTCCATTCACTTCCCACAAATGCTACATTTCGTCAATACCGTCTATTTTAACATTGTCAATGGATCGTGACCCAAATATATGTATACCACTAGCACGAGACGAGCGTTTAAATCTATAAAATTGTCTTAAAGGTCTTTCTCAATAGATTTCAAAAGCCTTCTTGCTTTTAGCGATATAGATAAATCTTTACGCTGACGAATTGAAGCAATATTCATCATTCCATTTTTTCATCATTTAATTTTTCACCTACAAAACTAGTTTACTACGAAACTGACATTGTGAACCAAAATGTAAAGCATAAAATGAAAATAGTAGTTTTCGAAATAATACCCTTTGCATGATTTATGAGGAAAATAATAGAATGTAACAAGATATGTCCCTGTGGTATTCTTCTATATAAGGTTAATTATAGTGGCAAAAAGTGCTAATGCGTTAGTCACAAATATGTAGCATGTATTATGAATCATTTCATTTTAAAGTAACTGGTATTTGGGAATAAAATAAAAGATATAGAATCTATAACAGCGCTTATTTGCACATTTTGCGATTTTTCTAAGCATAAATGTATAAGATGTATATGAAAACGCAATAGTGTCACAACTTCTTTTTGATTTGAGTAACTCTGACACTCCAAAAGCCTTACTAAGCTCACTTGTATTATATTTCTGGGTTAGCTGGTTGATTTTACTCTGGAAACGATCTGGCAAAAATCTCATTGTAGCTCTTTTATCCGATTACTGCTACTGGGGCCGAAATGGGTGATGTTATTTCTAAATTGCAACTTGTACAACTGTGTTTTATTGACTTATCCTTTCCACATACATAGGTGCTGAATTCAGAAGAGCAAATCAACTTTCGATGTTTTTGTAATATATATGTGATATTCGCGATAACGAAAAATATGCAACAATAAAGAATGGCAAACTCCCCATGCATAAAAATAAATTTAATTTATTCAATGATTACAATGATATGATTGCCGTAAACTGATAATTGTTGTGTTTGATATTTTTTTTTATTTCATACATATAATTAAAAATATTTCAAAAAACGGTATCAGTGTCTGGTTCATAAATACTGTAAGTTTGCTTAAATATTGCATGTGGGTGATGAATATTCGTAACTCTCTCCCTTGAGTTTCTAGAATTTAGATATTCCCGATAAAAACGAACGTACTTTTATCTCAAATCACATGTTTACAGGTTTTTCAACATAACCAGTCACGAAGAACTGGCTGCCGTGGATGGGCTTATCCGGATTTCATCTCCGGTTAGAAGAGTACACAACGATGCTGCGTGGGAGAAGAAAATACGAGATTATTACAAAAATGATTCTCATATCCCATTTTTAAGTAAAGAAGTTGATGATAAAGGGTGGCCATTGAACGAAAAAACTATTTCCAAATGTCTGTTTACTCAGAAAACCTGCAGTCATAAAGTTAGTTTTTACATAAATACTATACCAACTTTTATGTTGTATTCTGACTCATAAACCAAGATGTCTATACAGGAATAAATCTCTAGAAATTAGTCTTCAACAATCAGAAATGTATTTTACCAATACAATGAGCATATTAAGAGCAGGACAACATGATGCATCATTTCATATTCACACTGGAACGTATTATTTTCAAATACAAAATTATATCTTTCTTGATAGACGTAGCAACTAATATTTTCCCCCTTTACTGATTATATATTTTACACCATTGGACAGGACTTCAAGCCGTTTGTAACTCAAATGGGACGATGTTTTACATTCACGTCGAAAGAAAAACTCGTGCAAAGTGTTCCAGGAAGTGGACACGGATTACTATTATCATTAAATATCATGCAGGTAGATACAACTGCAAAGTTATTGGAGCCAGGACCGTGATGTATAAATAACATTTTTTGCCGATACCAATCCGATAAAATAATAATCCGCCGATACCGATATTCAAAATCTTCTTTAGTACCGATATTACGTATGTGTAAATATGTAAAAACATGTATTTATATATACAATTTTCCCGGGTAAGAGGGGTGGACGAGATAATGATAGCAGACGTTTTTTCATGCACAGGCGCAAGGAATCGCGCAGCTAGATTAGAAAACTCATATCAGACCGGCTACATTCTACAAGACATGGTGACATTTTTATATGTTCATTCATTTACAATGATTTTCATTCGCAATCACTTACTATAGTAACTGTTATAGGATACATGATGCAGTGAATGCTGCGTGCATGTTCCATCCGCGTATAATAATTTATAATTCAAAGCATTCTAAATGAAATCAAAGAGCTGAAAATATCGGTCAATTTTTAGCCGATACTATTACCGATATCTGAAAAATGATCGATATTGCCATACCCCTTTATCGATACATCGGTACATTTCTAGTTCAAAGTGATAAGGATACGCATTTAACACGGTTTCAGCATATTATAGACCTATTGAATTTTGAAACAAAAACCTGCAAGATTGAAGTAACATTATACATAAACATATCACGCTGAACACACAGTCAAAAACGGCATAAGTCAATTGAGCCAGGAGTACCAAAAGAACAAATCTATGGTCGCTGATGCAAAAAGACATCGCGAACGACTGACCATTTTCCGTCACAAAATGTAAAATCTAAAATCCGCAGCAGAATTTTAACACAATGCAATATAAATATATTTAAGTTATGGCCACAAATTGAAAAGTCTATAAAAACCTGCACATGTAGTTAAATTCAACCATTTTTTCGGTGGATATAAGTCGAATTGTTGAAGCCGACGTATTACAAAGACCTTTTCTCAATCGCACTCTTTTCGTGATTCCATTGCTATTGTTCCATAGGATTACTATTCTGAGCATCCTGAATATGGAAGACCTGAAGCCGGTATAAAAGTACATATTCATGAACACAACGAGCCACCAATGGTTGAAGAATTCGGAGTTGCAGTACCTGCTGGACATATGGGACATCTGGTTATAAAAAAGGAGGAGGTAGGGTGCCTACACCATCTACTTAGCTGAAATATTCTAGTCAATTTTTATTGTAGCGATTATGTTATGATAAATTAAGTTTAAAAATTCAAATCACGCTCAAATAACCCAAAAAATTACCTTGAAAAAAAACATACTTTTTAATAGCGAAAGTTGATGCACAAACCGTGGGGAATTTGCAACCCAAGTCCAAAGAAGATGACTTACACTGACGATTATACTTTCAGTGAATGCATGACAGAATGCAGGCAAGAAACATTGTGTCAGATAAATAAATAAGCTTTGCAAAACTATATTTCGTCATACGTTTCGATTTATATTTTTTAAATCTATTACTTTTACCAAACGTACGAAAACGTCACTGGACATGAAATTGAAGAGTCTAAAATAAATCAAAATAAATACGCAATGGAAATATAAAAATAAAACTTTGAAAAATATTATAGCGTTTTCAAGAAATCGAATCTCTAATCAATCTAATCCGTCATTAATAGAGTGCAGCATATTGTCGAGAAATGTGGTTGCAAACCATACTGGTCACCTACTGCAGAAAAGGCACAAGAGTGCGATGTTTGGCAAATATTGGAATGCGGCGGAGCAGCAGAAGGTAGTAAATACAAAAAGGTCATTTATAATATATTTTAACTGTTCCAATTGTATTTGCAACGTCATTTCAACCTTATATAAAATATCAGACATCAGCTCATCCCAAAACATTTGGTAAATAGTAAGCAATCTATTAGATTGGTCGCGGCATTGTTGGAGTGTTATCTTGGTTTGACATTTTTCTATTAAACTTTCAGTGACTTATATCAGAATAAACTTAATAGAATTAGATATCTTAGAATTTATTAGCCCAATTATATTTTTGTTTTACACATATATATATACTAATGACTTTCTAACTTTCGGCATTCCCTACCTAATTTAAAGCCAAGTCAAGTTTATTTCTTCCGACAAGTAAAAAAGTCAGTTTTACAAAAAATACGAAACGAAAAGATAATCATACATTTCGACTGGGGAAGGGAAGCCGCGAGGAACCAATGCTGGTTATCGAGCAGTGACACCCAAGAATCTAATATCTAAACAAGAGAGCTATGCTCAAATATATTGACACGTAGCGCCACCCAATGGCAATAATTTTGATGACGTCATAGCGAAAAAAAAGTAATAGCCTTCTGGAGAAAAATTTTATCTTTAACCACTGAAAATTTCAAAGCAATTGGTCCAGTATTCGAAGAAAAAGGCGATTTTTTAAAAATGATGGAGACAAATAACAATAACAACAAAATTTTGAAACGATCGTTATGTCCACTAAACGTGTCCAATAAAAATATATTAAATACACTCCAAGGATCAGAACCGGGCTATTTATTCTGCGACACAAATATATTAATGCATAGCACTCTAGCTATCTAGCTAAGCATTCAGTAATTCAGATGTAGTTTTATTCTACAGCCGATTCTCTGGCGTTAACTCCAATAAACTGCAGCTGTGACCAATCCTGCCATTCTATAATATACAACCATAAACTGTCATACGCAACTTTTCCTGGTATTGAAGTTGGTGAAATACTTGCGGAATCTGAGCATGACGAGGAAATGCAGAAGAAAATAGATGAAGGTGATATTGGTAAGGTATAACCCAATCACGAGGCGTGCATTCAATGTAAAAAGCTCAGAATTTCGTTGCATAAATTTCACATTTTGAATAGATGAAAACATGAAAATACAGCATGCGGTTATTTTCTTCCTCTTTATAGCAGCACTTTATATACAATTGCAACTAATTTCACATTTATAAGCATATATTTAGAAAGTGAGATTTGTGGCGCCTGGCGGTTTCCTCTGATATCGCAGCTAATATTCGAACTTTGGGAGTCGACGACTTGAACTCGATGAAAATTCAGTCTTTCAGAAACCGGCAGCCAACTGAATTTTCATGATGACTTCAAATTTTGCAAGTCTGTAGTAAAAGTCGGATTTAGGGAAGAAGAATTAGAAAATATATTTTACTTATTATTTAGGTTAATGAAAAATCTACTCAACACGTCTGCCACTGCGTGCGACGTTATGGCTTAGACAGCTTTCAACTCAATAAGAGAACTTATTCTAGTTGCTTTTGAAAAAGACATTATAGTATTATAGTTATAGGCTACTCCTCATTTGCACGTTTCACATGCTCGCTATGTTAGCTTAATGTTTTAAATTGTGAACCATAATTATACCCGAGAATTTGGAGAGTACAGTTCATTCAGATTTCCCTATGAAGTAGTATATAGTACATGAATTAGCTGTTAAAATGGCTACGAATTGGAAGCACTAGCAATCTTTCTCTCTGTGTTTAGATTCACAAATTAAGGTAATGGGGACCGAATTAAATCTAACACTACTGGATCCGTACAGGTTAAAACTGGGTAGTTTCAGAGAAAATCATTTGATGTTGGATGTATACTTTGAGTCCCTGTCTTTCACAAAAATAATTCAGTCAAAAAAAGTCGGAGAGATGAGCTTGGCAAGTGAGTGTTTGTTATTTCGATTAAGCCCATGCTGCAAGCAAATTGCTGATTTTTACTTCATCAGAAAGTAAACTATTTGGCTCGTGGATCTATGAGATTCGTAAGTTGCACCATTAATTCGACCTCAAACTTGACTATCAATTTGGATGCTTTTTACCCTTACGTCGCGCTATTGAAATATCCTTTGCAGGAAATCAAGACTCAAAAGAAACAATAAAAGTAATCACCTCCTAGCAACTTCTTTCGTTTTGTGTATACTGAAATTTTGGGGCTCCCGAAGTATGCGAACCAAGATGGCGGACATCGGAATGTAATATGTGTACTAGGTTAGGGTGAGGCCATAATTTTAGGTATAAATACTACGGGAGGCTCTTGGCTAGTCTTCGAACTGATAATAGGACTAAAATAAGAAAAATTGGAAAAAAATTATCGCCTAACCCTAACCTGTTACCCATGTTACGTTCCGATGTCCGCCATCTTGGTTCGTATACTTCGGGAGCACCGAAATTTTTATAATAGATGCGAAAAAACGGTTTTTAAAACAACAACCAACACAAATTCCACAACAAGAACAACAACAATTTTCTAACACAATTCATCCCCATACCAAATTAGATACTAAATGACATCTTTTTGTATAAAATTTTAGGTGACTTCGGCGGATTACTTGGATTATGGCTTGGGATTAGCGTCGTAACAGTGCTAGAATTTTTTCAGTTTATTATTCAGTTGTGCGCAAATTATTACCGCCCAGATACCACCAACAAACGAGGGAGAATGGGTGGAAATGGATCAACCAAGTCAATGAAAACCAAGGTACATACATCAATATTATAAATATGTACCAGTTCGATTTTCGTTTGGACACCAAGTTTACGATGTAGCAAAAACTCTGCGACATTTTGGAATTTGTTATCCGAATCGTAACTTTAGTAGTAAAAGAGTACCCTACTAACCATAGAGAAAAAAAAATGCAGAAAATCAACATTACAACTCTTTTTGAATATGTAATTTTATTCTGTATTCTAGCAAAAGGTAAACCCAACTGTTATAACAGTAAACGAACTAGACGAAGAACCGTCAGAAGAAGGCAATGGCTTCACATTTTTGAATTTGGAATCGGGATTCACATACGACAATTTTTGCGAAGTTTAATATTTTTATTATTTACAATCTTTTGGATATATTAAAATTATTTATGATATAATTGTTGAGTCATTGATATGAATATTTATCTGTTGGCTGTAACTCGAAAATTTTTATACATTGAAGAAATGCGTGAGCGAGAAATTGGCAGCGGCGCTTGTTGATAGGAGTCGAAACTTTGAATTTTCAGGAGCGGGAATTTCAGGTTCTTGAATGATGATAAACAAAGTAAAAAGTTCTTACAACCAGCACTAAAAACAATCACGTTGTACAAACGTTTTAACATCCTTTAAAGAATGGCTGTCGGAGTCGGCGTAATTTCAATGTCTATATCTGAATAGTTGCATCATGTATTTCCATCAACCTGCAATTTTTTGTCAACATTGATGTATTTGAGCACTTGTTATGCGTATATGAATATTTATTTGTACATATTGTCGATGATGGAATTTATGTCAGATTTTCACCAAAATACATGATGCAACTATTCAGATAGACATTGAAATTATGCATCCCTACCAAACGCTGCCACGCGACTTGTGTGCTCAGTTGTTTGGACCGTCGGTACCAATAACGTCCGATCTTTATTGTTCTGGAAAACGTTTACAACCTTGAAAATATTTTCGAGCTTTTTCCACACAAATATATATTTCAAAACCCACGATGCCATGACACGCGGTTTCTCAATGCATTTTCCGCAGACAAGGCTGAATCCATATAATATTATTATGATATTATGTGTTCAAGCATGTTGTTTACCGACGTTTAGAAACTCATTTTTTATGGTCGACTATAATTCAAATTTCAGACAACAAATTAATCATAAAGAATAAATGCAAATACTGTACTTATTCTTCTCTAGTTCAAGTTGTAACGTAGGAATTTCACTCATAAAACTTATATATATATATATACATAATTTTATCTGATAAATACGCACATAGTAATGAATATCACCCACGCCAAATTTATTGTGTTTCGGGCTTGTGAATGTTCGGTAAACCCGTCAGCCAAGATATATTAATATGGGAAATAATCAAATATATATTATCAAATCATTCATGTCGAAAACGAAGACACATTCAAAATGAACGCAATGCTTAATAATCACGCCTCGAAAACCAGGAGTTTCACTCCTTATCGCACTCCAAACCAAATTACAAGTGCTAATAAAATCGTCCTATCATAAACGCATGAGTTCTACTTCCAATTCACAGAAAAGATATTGCAAAGAATTCCTCCGTTAGTAGGTAATATATTATTAGCACGCAGCAAAACCCCCAATATGTTTTACATCAGTATTAAAATTCGCACGGCCAAAAATGAGCTATCGATACGAAATTGTGTTGGACTGTGCATTACTGGGACCCATATTTACCCCGAATAAGCCATCAAGACTTCCCAGCATGTGGCGAACTACGCTCTTTCGTCCCGTTTCTAGTACAAGTCGAATAATATAATGGTAACCGTCATTAAATTAGAAGATGACACTTGATATCTGTAACAGACGGATGAACCAAGCAGTAGCAGCCATTGATGTGAATACGCTTCTCGTTTTTGTAGTGGCTTCCGAAACAGTATCAGTAAGCGGGTGGATATCGCATTGCAACAAATGACGTCAATTGACCTGTGTCGGCAACTCAGATATCAGCGTTAATATGAACTGATAGTGAATATATATGAATGTTAATATGAACTGATTACAGCGCACTGTGCAATAAACTGTTACCAAGGAAATTAAATATGAATACAATGCGAATATGCGGAAATGCCAAAGTATTGTATGCGCATTGAGCAATGCAACAGCGCAAGAATAATATATGCCACGGTTCTGCTGTTTTAGCATTTATTTCTATTTATAAAATGTTTCAGCAAATCATCATAAATGTCATGTAAGAGATTGGCGAAAACAAATATTACTGGTTCTCCTGAACATGGCAAATTCCATCATAAAGTATTTTTACCGCAGTCTATAATTCATTTGAATTTGACAACGCAGTTAACGTGCATTAAATTTGAATGTTTTGGAAGAACTACCCAGTGCAGTTCCCATGACAATTTGCCCAAAGTGACATCCCGAGATAAATGTGTAAGTGAAATTTCGCTCATCGAGCAGTTTAATACATTTGTGGCAACTACGCTACGTGTTTATATTTAAAGTTAGGCTACGAATAATATCCATCTACAATATTTCGTAATTTTATTGCTCATTGGCCATCCCCATGCCGCCGGCGGATATTGTACACTTCAGATATTTGGCAAGACTGTATATCTAATTCATCTTATTTGGAAAAGCAACTAGCGACTTATAAATCCATCACTTTCATATCGCTACATGGATTAGTGGACAACATTTCGAAAACACACAATAAACATTTATATTGTCAACATTGCACTCTAGGACTAGATAATATTTGCTTATTTAAGTCCGGCTGAAGATAGTTGGTCCATTGAAGGATTGGGCGTGAGTGGCAAAAACCACACATGTGCCATAACAAGCTGGTAGCAACACTTTGGAAGTGATATACATGAGTATACTTAAAATAGTCAGCAGGGAAGACATTACATAACGGTCACATGCTTCTATTCTTGCATAACAATACCAATCGCGTCACACCCCACAAATATGTTGACCTGAGCAGACTTTAATAAAGCGGTATCTCCTTGTATAGGTTATTATTATGCAATGAAATACGATTGATAAAACTAGGCAGTGAAACGTATATAGCATAAGCATGTGAAATGTTAAACGCAATGAATAACTAACTGGCTTCGAAGCGTTATATCATAATGCAATGCTTCACGAAACTTACAATTAAGTGAGACCTATACTTTGTCTACTTATTTAATATTCTCAAGTCTAGATCCCGAGAATTAGAACATGTGACAAATGAACCCTTGTCAGTTGTCATTCATATATACATCTTAGTCTTTAATAACCGTTTATATGAAACATCATTTCAAAAATTTATTTCTCATTTCTGGGTATCCAATTTTCCTAAAGAGATGTGTCAAATTGCCACACAACATAAATATACTTCAGTGTGCCCAGGAATACCATTTTGGGAAATATAAGAATGAAACTAGTCTTTTATGGCCGCTTTGCGACATTTAATCTCGGATTGTGAAACAATATAATAATAAGGAGCACACAATTGAGCAAGAAGTTTGATTCCAATAAACAAACGAAAAAATAATAAATATGTACACAGAATTTAGTTTACAGCTCGCGATGAAAAAGGCTTACAATAAAAATGCAAAAATTGATAGCAAGAATTACTTGACAAGAATTGCTTGTTAAATGGTATCCAATTATAATCTTAGCTCAACTTTAGAAATGATTACCGAATTAGTCTACTTTGAACAAACTGACCATTGACCAGTATAGGATATTCATGAGAATTAGTTTGATTTCAATTATTTTGATGGTCAAATTACGTCAACATATTCATTTAGAATACTTCCCTTTCCAGACAAAATTACAATTTACGAATGATAAAATTTGGCACATATCATGATTTTGGTGCGAATTATAAATATTTTGAATCTTAATGATTACAATAAAAATTAAATATATTTCGTTGCAGATTTAAAATCTGTAATTTAGTCAACATTAATTAGTATATGAATATATCTGATACTGCAATGAAGTGCAATATTTTTTTTTAATTTTCTCAACTTCAGTGTTTAAAATTTCGTTAACGATTAAGAAATTATGTCATCAATCATAATTATTTCTAATCACAAAAAGCAATACAATGATATCACAATATATCAGAAAAAATAAATAAATCACACTGTGATACATAAACAATGTGAGAATATACACAAAACATTCTAATGGTAAAACAAGGCATTTATACAGAGGCATAAAGTGTATCATTTCATTTTAGAGTACCATGTATAATATAAACATATATTATTGACAATAATTCAGGAAAAATACAAATTTTTATGTAGACCATTTTCAAATAAGATTTCAAGCATGCACTCACAGGCTGTCATATGATGTACCCTGGGTCGGAATGATAATTGAATTAAGTACAAAATTGAAATAATGCAATGGTGGTTTCAATAACCACTTATTTATTACTATTATGTTATGGTTTTCGACTTTTCGTCAAAGACCTGTGTAATTTATGCATATATCCCGTGTAAAAAAAAACAATACACATTTTTAAACCCCATTTTCTAATCAAAAATGAAATGCTTATACAAACAAGTCAACAGATGAAACCACTATCAGATAAATACAGATGCAATATGTTAAACTGCCAAAAGCAAATTTATCAATTTGGTATTAACTGTTCATCCACTGAACATTGCACAGCGAACTAGCGACTAGCAGAACGATGTTTATCTTGAGATTTTTTGCCAGGCTCTTACATACTGGTTTATATGTTTATAAAATTGGCGTCCACATACTGTTATATGTTTCCCATCAAAAAAAGTTACAAATAGCATGCAAAATCACGAAAACAAGCTACTGTTCATCGCCATGCATGAAAGTCTGTTCGAGTAAAAAAGGTGACTAACCACTAAAAGAATAAGAAGTACGAAATAATACAACTACAAGAAACAGTGTCTTGGAAGCCATTATTGCAAATTTATACTCCACGAAGTGATAATTTATTGAACATGTGTTTATCATGCTGAATCAGCATTTATTGCCTCTAAATCCCCTGTTTGCGATTTAGACCTGTCAATATTTCCAGCTAAGCACTCTTCATCAGAACTTTGTAACTTTTGACCACTTCTATAAAGATGAGTCTTAGAACCACATACGTCAAATAAACCTGTTATCAAATGCCATGCTAGATATCCAACAAAACATATATATGCTAATGCAAGAAACCCACAAAGCACATAGTATCCAACATGCGGAAGTTCATCAATGTAAACAACAACAAAAAACAGATTTATTCCAACAACCACAATTGAAATGATGATGCCTACGATAAACCAACCCCATGAGTTTTTAAATTCACCCATTAAATCAGAGGACGTGGTGAAATGTAGAATTGGGATAAGTGCAAATGGTAGTTGGAGACTTTGCAATACATTTAGCAAATCATTCATTCCTGTTAATCTATAGACATCAGTAAAGATTGCAAGAAGAAGTGTTGGTCCAATTGCAATAGATCTTGTCAATAGAATCCTCCTGAATCTAGACCATTTGAGATCCAAGAAACCTTCCATGACAAACTGGCCAGAATAAGTACCTGTCATTGTTGAACTTTGTCCTGCTGCTAAAATTCCAATGGCCCAGATGTAATATGCGGCAGGCCCAAAATAACACCCTAAAAAGATGCCTCCTCTGAATAGATCACTATCAACAGTTTCATTAGCTGTGACATTGTCATAAGGAAAGGCACCTGGACTGTTTGGAATAGATGTATTAGCGCAGGTCATATTCATCTCTTTATTTGTAACTCCATGAAACGCCTCTGCAAAAACTGACACAACAAATAAATTGATAACAAAGGACACAAGGAGTGCAATAGCTGCTTCAACAAGATAATAAAAATTCGCTTCTCTGACTGAACGGGAATGAGACCGATCAATGTCACGAGATTTCACCAAGGCAGAATGAAGATAAATATTATGTGGCATAACTACTGCACCAATAATTCCAACTGCCTGAAGTAACTGCTTTCGGCCACAGTCTTTACATGTTGGTAATAATACTCCAAGCACAACTTCTTTCTGGTCCGGGGCTACTTTGATGTACTCATACCCAAATGTGAGTGCCATGATGGAAATGAGAATAGCAAAAAGTGCTTCCAACTTCCTGAGACCATACTTATCCACAAGTAGAAAGAGAAAAGCATCACAAGCTGTAATAAGAACTCCAGCCCAAAGTGGAATCGCACCTCCAGATAAGAGTACGAACGCAATCGCACTTCCTATGACTTCTTGCATGTCTGACCCAATAATAGCAATTTCCACCATGACCCATAATATGAGCCTCGGTATCTTTTTGTATTTTTTGTTACATACTTCAGCTAAATGCATTCCAGTAACAACACCCAATCTTGCTGCAAGTCTCTGCATCATAAGACCCATGACAGTAGCTAACAAAAGCATTGTCAGTAACTGATAACCAGCTACTGAGCCAGACTGCAAGTCGGATTCGATATTTCCTGGATCCAAATATGCAATACTCATTAAAAAACCTGGGCCTGTAAATGCCCATAATTTTCTCCAACTAAACGGTGGCATGTCAAATTGGCGAAAACTTGGGCCACAATTTTGTTCATCCTCTTTTGCATAGTGAGGTACATGAATTTTCTCTTCAAAATATGTTTCAAAATCATGATTTTTAACTGGGTCTCGAAATACAGCATCAACATCTTGCAGAGTGGAAGAACGCGATGCACGATTCACAAGTGAACTTTTGGAATCAACATTATCAACATCGTCCAGCTCAAAACGAGGCATTATAGTTTTATTTCAGTTATTTTGCATTTGAAAATATTATATCGATAGTACAGTAGTATGTGTATTATCAGACTGGAATGCACACTATACAGCTATAAAAAGCAGAAAATATTATAAATCACAAACTCAGAGGAAGACTCACCTTATGGCAGGGGTCGGCAACCTTTTGTCGCTCGCGGGCCAAAATTAAGGGTTGCAAGTCTAGTCGGACCGCACATATTTTACTGTTTTAGACAGTTGAAAACCAAACGAATAGCCCATGAATCACAATTTTTCCAGATCATAAGTTTTAAGCAGCCCCCGAAAACTGCGACAACTCGTGAACTCAACTTGGTCGTCTTACTTGGTAAAAAATTTAGACATTTAATGTGACTGTATTCATTGCAGCACGCATGATACATTTTCGACATCACAAAATCAGTAAATGAGAAACATATTCTAAATGGGACACTGATAGAAGCCACGATTAAGAAAATTTATAAATCTGATGCTGAAATGGAAATTACTAATCCGAGTTCTCAGCTTGTTAAACATACCGTACTGTAACCCCAGACCACACTCGTTCAGCCCACACTCACGTTACATTCTGACATTACAGCATTATGGCTTTATGATGGCGTATTACTGATTTACAAAGACTTTAAAAAGTTTAAATACGCCTTGGCAAGTTGAATCAAATCTGTCTCCTTCTTTTGCATTGCTGTGGCCACTGGGATCTCTGCTTTTAAAGAACGAACTAATGACAAACAGATCATTAGGTACCCTGTTCCAATCGAAACAAAACTCGAACCAAAAGGATATTGGACCTACAGCGCTCTCCTCCTCTCTGTCTGATGCAATATCATGCAGATCACAGTGTATGCTATCAGATTTATAAAATGGATAGGATTTCACAATCTTATATATGGATTCTTCATATGTCTTTGTGAAAATTATTGAAGATACTATTATATATAGTCTGAAATAATAATTATATGTACTATATAGCTTGGGAAGTATGGTATTTTTAATTTTTCACCTATTCATAGAAATTGCCTCATTCTCATTAGCCCGACGCCCTTCTTATTCTTTCTCGCATTTTTAATTACTATTAAAAACATGATCTGCGTAATCATGTGATGTTCTTGTTCCTTGTAATTTTTATTTCTATTCCAATACTTTCGGGGAATTGATTTCTGGGGCCTCTCAACCGGGCTTAAAACTCAAAAATTTATATTTCTTCTATTGTAATTATGATGCCTGCTTTAGAGTGTCCTGTCTTGGTAGAATCTTACCTTAGGGGTCGGTCGACCTTGTTGACCTTGGAAGTCTTGCCCGTCCCCTTCCGTATACATTTTTATGCTTATTATTATTTGCTCATGCTTATTGTATTGTGTACTTGTATCGGAAATAAATCATTATCTATCTATGTCTGATAGTCTGAAGCAAGGCCTGCTGGCAACGCAAACTCTTTCCCATCGGCAAACAGGTCTACGTCTCTACGCACCGTTACTTCAATTCTCAAAACGCTCCAAGAAGCCACGTGAGCCGAGAATGCTCTCGTGTTACAATGATAATATTCCTTCAAGCCACGAAATAAAAAGCCGCAGCGATAACTAATTTCTCTCTTAGACTTCCTTCTCTCTATTTCACTCCATTTTTTTTCATTTCTGAAAACACATTTTGCTGGGAACAGAATATGACACGGAGTACCAGTTACTTAGGTAAGAAAATTATTTTGAAATCCACCATGGCATTACACAATACACGAGACAAGCACAAAGATCGAAATGTTCAAAACAAGAGTCATAAGACTGCAAGAAGACTACGTGCATATCTAAGTGAGAGACAACATTACTTCGAATGCATCGATGGCATCTCTTCGCTTGAATATATAACATGTGGGTGACCGTACATTTGAACCCATGTACATTTGAACCCATGCGTATATCCACGGGTTCAATCTATATGCGGGTGCTAAAACCCATGGGTTAGGGTTAGTATGGGTTTAACTATCCGTGAAACAAAAAAAATTCCATAGGTGCAATAGCATACAGGTGCAATTGTCATGGGTTCAAATGTACGTGGGTTCAAATGTAATGGAACCAACATGTGGTGTCCCACAAAGGAGTAGGCTACTTTTGGGCCGCTTCTATTTCTAATATATATCAATGATTTACGAGCAGCAACTAGCTTAGACTCGACTCTTTTTGCAGACGATACCGCGCTCATTGATTCTGCTGCATGCTGTGAAGAACTGCAGATTTCGATCAATAAAAAAATCGAGATGGTCAACTCATGGCTAAAAAGTAATAAATTATCATTAAACATCTCGAAAACTAAATTCATGGTTTTTGGTTTCAGGCAAACTACTTGGCAGTTGAGGCCGCAGTTCCATCTCCAAATTGACAATAAAAAGATAGAAAGAACAAAATGTATTAGGTATTTGGGTATAATCCTAGATGAGACCCTGTCATGGAAACCTCATATTGGTCACTTATGTAAAAAAGTTTCACAATCACTCGGAATATTGTATAAGTTACGTGGAATCCTCGGTATCGATGCATTAAAAATTGTCTACTATGGTCTCATACACTCTCATCTGAAATATGGCATTAAAAGTTGGAGGGGAACTAATAAAACTACGCTAAACCCACTAGTAATTCTGCATAACAAGGCAATTCGCTGCATGCTATCTGCAGAATCACAGCATGTTCATAACTCACTCTTATACAAGCAGTGTGGAGAATTGCAACTGAGAGATATCTATCTTTCTGAAATTGCCAAATTTATGTATCGCTTCGAAAATCATATGCTACCCCCTATATTTCATAACTTTTTTACAAAAATTTTAACCATCCATAGCCATGCCACAAGGAGGGTTACAAAAAGGACATATTTCATGCCTCGATGTTCATTTTCATTAACAAAAAAAAAACGCTCAAAACAGAAGGCATTCTAATTTGGGAGAAAATTCCGTCTAATATTAAAGAAAACTCACTTGCAACATTCAGTAAGCGATTAAAAATTTATCTACTTGATGACTATGGATAGATAAAAAAAAGACGGCTAGGTTTCTTTCGTTACGTATTCAAGTCATATTATTATTGTATTGCTGCTATGTCCATGCTCTATAATTTTTGCCCAAAGCTCAAATAACTTTGATAATAATTTCCCTCATATATAATAACAAATTCTGCAACTAGTGCCCAATTAGAAAAACAGTCCTCTAACATTCAAATTATAAAAAGAATTTCGGTTCCCCGCGACTTCCCTTCCCCAGTAAAACTATGTACTATTTTCTTGTAATTTGTGCCTGTGTTGTTTATTTATTTTTTACTGGTTGGAATAAAATACACTTGATTGATAACACAAGTGGGGACATGCATTGGTAACGTTAAAAGCGCGTATGTGACGTCACACCCGCCATTTTGGGTCAGGAGTCCACCTAGTACATATTTCAGATTTTCCGACGCAAAAGAATATAAATATTCTGAAGCAGTGGCGGCGCGTCGATAGGGCCAACCGGGGCAATGCCCCGGTTGTTTTTTCGGTATAATAAAAAATATTCGAAAAATACCTCAATATGGGTTGCACAGACTGCAGTGGCGGCGCGTGGTCATTTTGACAACCGGGGCAAGCTACTGCGGGACCAAGTCACCCCCATCTACGGGACCAGGATGAGCGCTGTAAGTTCTCCCATCATTTTATGAGTATAAAAACCATTCCATCGGTAACAACCAATCGGCAACATCGACAATTTTTAACGATAAGAAAGTGTCTTTGAAACCGGTCCAAGTCAAGGGGTTAATAAATATAGACATAGTTTATTTTGAAACCTCTTTCAAAAGGAAAGGCAATATTTACCCAGATAAATACAATGACATATTAACAGAAACTTCGGGAAAGCAGACAAAACCTAAAATAAGGTTTAAAACGTTACTATGAAGAAAGGAAAGTAATGCAAAGATAAGGACATGCGTCGCTCACTCATAGATATATATGCTGCTAGACTTCTACTCCTTGAACATATATGCAACACGCCGCGGTTTCTTGGAAGGAAAATGCTCAATAGCGCGCTGATTAAAGTTATGCATCCCAGAAATAACGTCTCTGTGAATGGATAAAACAGCCAAGGAATTTAATCTATCTTGCTTCATTGTGTTTCTGAGATACGTTTTAATACGCTTCAGCGTGCTGAATGTTCGCTCTGCGTTGGCGGAAGAAATAGGCGTCGTCAAAATGATGTCCAGAAATTTTGCAGACGCCGCAAAGGTAGTTACTAGAGTGTTATTTATGAGGAACCCATAGAGCGCGCAAGTTGATGTGATGTTCAAAAAAGTTTGATTGGTGTATGTACATCGCAATTCATTTTCCAATTTACCCACGTTCATCATGGGGTAAAATTTGGAGACAGTAGCCAACAAGTGGATGAGAAATTGACGTGCAAATTTTGAAAAATTTTTTGGGTTCATCAAAGAGAACGCGGCAAGGTGTTCAGTGCGCACACGATCGCCTATTTGATTCACCAGAATGTCACAGCATTCCTTTGCAGACAAAATCAAACGCTGCGTTGTTTGCCCGCGGCGTAAAGAAGCACTCCATGTGTCGTCGTATTTTATTGTTTCCCGGATACGGGATACAGCATCGCAGAAGTCTGAAATACACGACTGCACAGACGCTCCATCCATTAGCCTTGACTGCAATGCGCCGTATAATACATCCACGTGATAGAATATTGTGGAGAAAAAAACGAGAAAAAATGAAAACTCACCATCTTCTAGCAGACGCTTTAGACCTGCCGCCTCCCTCACAGAGCGTTCGTCCCAAACCGGAGAGCTCCGAATGTCATTGAAACACTCAATGAGCTCAGACCTAATTTCGGACACGCCCTGCACCACGCGTGATTGGAAGTTGTTGGTGCACAAGCTGGGAGACGGCGGCTACATATCTGGCGAAGGAGGTCAGAGCGCTTCGGCGAAAGGGAAAAAAATGAAGAAAACCCCGAAACATTTGCAAAAAATATACGGACGAGAGGGGTATCAAGACACATATTTTTAATAACGAGGTTAAATTGGTGTGCATAACAATGTAAAAAATGCGCATGAGGAAAATCTTCTTTTATATAAACTTGAACACCATGTTTCGACCCACTCATGAATGCCGCGCCGTCATAAGTTTGAGCTATCAATTTTGACTTCGCGTTGTAAGGCTGTAACACTTCTTTCAGTAACTCTCTTGTTGAACACGTAGAGGACATAACGATCGTTTTGTTGTTCTTGTTCAATGACACGTTTTGAAGAAATCGCCTTTCTCTTTGATTACTTGACCAATTGCTTTGAAATTTTTAATGGTTGAAGATGGAATTTTTCTCCAGAAGGCTATCACTTTTATTCATTTCCAAATTTTCTGTGGACTTCAAGAGATTCGTTTTTTGTGTGCGAATTGGTGATCAGAATGAAAAATAGCGGAATGAATGAATGGAGCGAACGTGATTCTTGCTCGCTAAGAGTTGTAGTGAACTGCGCGGTACCGTATGTTAGTCGTTGGCGGTACCCGTACATGGTGTTATAATACAGTAGTGTTTCGGATCGCTGGTGTTATTGCAGTTGCAAGTCGGTTGCAAGTCATCTTGCAATTTCAACTGAAGCTGGCACAAGACAAGAACTGGTGAAAATAGGCCAGTTCCGGTACCGTAACGCAGCACGGTGACTTACTATTGCACAAATTCGAGTTTTGTATAATAACGTATTAGTTTATTTTGATAACAGAAAATGAATTGAGTTTGTATATGCCAAAGAAGAACCATTCCACGATCGAATACCGGTATCAGGCTTACAGGT